GTTGATCATATAGCAGGACTTTCCATATATAACGGACTCAAGCTTAAAAAGGGAGAGAAAATAAATTAAACTCGTCACATCCACATGCTCCGATCAGATAGAAACTGAATACACCAATAATATGGTACGCCATAACTAATTACTTTTTCAGATCAGTCGATAGAAAATACCACAGTGTTCAATTCGGGCAAACTCATCAACGGTTCATATTTAACACTTTTTCAAATAACAATCTACATATTCGTATTTGAGACATGTTTTCTTCCACATGAGACCACAAATGAGCGATATGATAAATCTGCGATATTAAAGTAGATCAGATATTAATCGCTCTTGAAATTTGCACAATCAAAAATAAACTACTTGGTTGCTTTCAACTTTCTCAAGCTGCTTGAAGTTATAATAGTATGCTTACAACTTTTTAGTTATTTGAATCATTCCTGAATAGTCACACTTAATATCAAGCAGACTGTGAATCCTTTTGTCGTCTAATTTGAAAATGTATTTAGCTATAATTATTTGTGTTATATGAGTAGCTCTTCTACTTGCTGGACTGAAACTGATAGTAAAATTTGTCTAAAAATTTTTCTCAAATACAACTAAGAAAATATGAGCAGTGATATAAAACAAATTGTCAGCGCTTTATCCCTACAGATATTATTAATATCTCGTAGGCAATTAGACTTGAAATTATTCCAAATAAAATTTAAGATTTTGAGAAGAATCCAAGTTAGCAAAAAAAAGTGCAGTATAAGCTAAAGAAATTATGCTAATAATTTAAGTATATAATATCCACCACACTTTTCAAATGACACTTGGTAAGTATTAATCAATCACTTAGATTGAAAATAAAGTAGTTCCGACCTGAATCGGGTCACCAACAAACTGCTGCTGAGCATATGCTCGAAACTGATGATATGTTTGTCGATTGAGAGCTTCTTGAATTTGCTGCCTATAAAATTAAAACGGATCTTAAATTATTAGCATATGCAAGAAAAATACAGTATGTATTCCCATTAGGATGTATATAATTTTGGTAGAACACTGACCGAAATTTAAATGTAAAACCACAGCTTACGTAAAGAATTTTTTTATACTAAAGACTACATGTAATAGATGTAAGTAAAAAAGGATTTCAGATGTCAAACGTTTACGTAGAAGGAATTAATGGAAATTTTCATGTAACCAGAAGCTCAAATCAATGCTAAGTGAAATTTAGCAGAAAAGAATTTCAAAAACCCAAGAAACATTAATAAGGAAGTAATCAAACACAACAATCTGAAGTGGAAATCTTGGAAGTCAAAATGGTCTCAAAGACATGTATAAAAGTAGAAAAAAGTAATGAAGAAATATTTTTAAAAATGCACCTCTGAGCCTCAAATCTTTCCATATCATTTACTGCTGGAGGAGGAGTAGACTGTTCAATACGTTCTTGCTCACTACTGCAATAACAGGAACCATTTACAACTCAACCAACGAATTCATGTTACCATACCTTACTTTTTAAGTAAATATATCAGTGAACTATATGAATTCTTTGGCAACATTTTCCTACACTTCTCAATGCCTCTGCAACAAATATAACTTTGTTGATAGAAACTATGAAAAATTGAAGCTTAATGCAATACATACCTTTGAAGCTTTTTTTGTGATTGCACATAT